AGTTGCCTCAAAGATATGCTCTCCAGCTAGGAGGCTGTTTCTTTTCTCCTCCTGTGCTATGTGAGTCTGTCAGCAAAATGACCACTGCAGAGAAGTTGCCTCCAGCTGATGCTGGTAGAAACAACAGGTAAGGCTGCCTCTCAGCTGCCACTGTGGGTGCACCAGCTGTTGGCAGTTCTCCCATAGTGCTGGAGGTGGCAGCTCTTCCCACTGCAGCCAACACTGCAGCAATGGCTGGTGCTCCTGCAGCGGTTGTAGCAGCAGGGTCCCAGCAAGGCTCCATGGCATCTTGCTGAAGCTCAGAAGCTGCCAGGGAGCCAGTTGCTCTCTATCCCTCCCCTTTGGAGGTCAGGAGGGATAGCAGAAGACAAGGATGCTGACATAGATGGATATAGGATTTTGGAAAGGGGGTGCAGGTAGCATGGTGCATTGTTACATAATAAAATGCATATTTTCTCCATTTAAAAAAACAAGAAACTTTATGAATATGCTTGGGGTCTAAGACTATATTATTCAAGATCCAGGCAAAAGCAAACATAACTGGGTATGGAGGTGTTGACTGCTAGCATCAGGATAAGTCAGGCTCCTAGTTGGGAGGGGAGTACAACTGTTATGCCCCAGCCTGGCCACAGGGAGTATTGCTTCCTGCACCCACGTGTGTCATACCTCACCGAGCCTTCTCCTGACTCTCTGAGAACCCAAACCTCACTGCAGAGGCCCCTCCTGCTTCCAACCTCCCTCACACACCCTATTTCACCCCCACAGACCTTACTACCTGCCTCAGCCCCAAACCCAATCTTCCCCTTCTTCTCAGAACCCCTCCCAAACAGTTCCCCCTGCCTCTCATGGCCCCTGACCATGGGGCAGTGGCAGCAGGGCTGTAATTGCCCCCCCTGGATCTGCCCCTGGATGCTGGTGGTCCAAAAGGGCCATAGGATCCCCTGTGGTGCTATTCGTTACATGTGGTGCTACAAAACTGCTTACTCATTACATATGGTGCTACAAAGCATACTACTGCTACTAAGAATTTTCTCTTTGAAAGAGGAACAGTTGTGTGGCACTACAAACAGCACAAACATCTGTATGCATGCTAATTATAGCGCTTCAAGGGTGTTTGTAGTGTAATATATATCTATAAATTCTATATCTTAACATTTCATCCACTTTATCTATAGGCACAGTTCATCATTACTTGGCCAATTTATGGCAAAGTCCAGGACAGAACCTACACATCTGGGTCCCAACCTGGTGACCATCCTTCTTTATTTCCCAATGTATAATGTGTTGTACTACAAGGAATTTAAATGAGGATTAATGCTGAGCTGGACAGGACTCTATGTGGTGGGTAAAACCCTGGTGCAACATATGAAAATCCCAATCTTTATTTTATGAGATTTTTGCTAGGACTTTTACAGAATTTCTGTTTTATGACTGATGGGGAATATAAGAACAGGACCTGAACCTTGTGTAACTTTCTTTTTTTTGGCCATAGCTCCATGAACCCTTCTGAAACTAATAAGAGCCATCTTTGATTTATTTTGGAAGAGAATATTGGTAAAATCCTTGCATTAATCACATCTACATTTTAGCTTGGTTTACATCTCATATGAATTCCATCTTTTTGATTCCCATGCTTCAAGTAAATTTAATGTGACCAATTGGATGTAAGAATTCAGAATATGTATACTGTGTACATTGCAGATGCATTAGATAGCTTCCATTTTAAATTAACTCAGTTATGCCCGGTGCAATGGCAGAATGGAAGTGTTCAGATACTCTTCCTACTAACATAAGATTAGGGTTGGCAAGCTGGTGCATTGACTGGTCAAATATTGTCAACTGACTGGTCAATTGACTGCATATTTTTTGACCAAAGATCATAGCTATTTAACAAAAAACCTACATTTTTCTGTAATTTTCTTGACAGAAATATGATATTTAATTGTTTTTGATACATTTCTTAATGGAAAATATGTGCTTTTTCTGTGCATTATTTAGACCCATTGGCAATTTTTGACTGATATTTGACAGGTCAACTGACTGGACTTTAATTGACTGGTCAAATATCCAACCCTACATAGGATAAATTAGAACTAGAGAACTGGTATAAAGATATGATATTGTATCTAAAGAGTATATATTAATTAATATCTTGAAAAAAGCTGATGACCCAAAAGTCATTCATTGCATGGCAAATGTACAGGAATCAATCAGGGTTTTACATGCAACATGCTGATAGTAGGATCAGGAAGAGCTGGTAGCATTGCTTATAGTTAATGCTGCCTGACACTTCTTCATAAAAAAAGTGTTGGTTACAATTTGCCTAATTCTAACTGTTTGGGGTGACATTTTCCTTTCTGGCTTGTGTTTTGGGTTGAAGATTTTATGGGGGTAACTCCAACAAAAACTGTTTGGCCCCTTCCTAAACAAGATCAGGGCAAAACATTTTGTTTTCCCCCCTATTTGTTTCTTTTTTAAGTCTTACAACTCATTTAGTAAGCTGTAGCACCTCTGTGCTCTGAAACAGGAACGTGTCACATGGGTCACAGATTTGTGTTTTGCTATTCCTGTGGAAATCAGTCTGAAACGTGGACAAGTTACAAATCTGGGAACAATGTCAGTTTGTACGTGCTCAGTAGAAATTTATGAGATTTGGTAAATTTCCAGAGATTCTGTCTGCCCTGAGCTCTGTCTCTTGACTAAACAGGATTTTCCCTGCACTGTTTCTGGATGCTGCAGTCTGCTGTGGTAGCTGCCACCAAAACTGAGAACAGGAAAACACTACCTCATGCTTTCACTTCTCCCCTGACTGGCAGACAAGTACTGGTGGGAAGACTGTGTAATTCAACTGCAGAAGAAAGAGCAACCAGACTAGAGTGAGGGAAGAGGAAGGCAAAGGTGGAATTATATCAAAGGAGAAGACTAGGACTCAACAAAAAGATTCTGATAGGAAGCTGACAGTAGTTTGAAATTAAGATTGGATGCAGAACCTGTGAGGGGGCAGGATACAGAAAGATTAGGGCTAGCTGAGCAGGAAAGTTGGGATAAAGAGGGGGAAAGGATAGTAGAAGAGGGATGAGGAGTATGAAGGACTATAATGGGAATTAAGACCAAAAGATCGGGACTCAGAGGAAATGCCTGAGAATAACTGGGGACAGGTGATTAGATTAGGAGCAACCACGAAAGATGTATCTTGAAACAGATTAGGTGAGGAGACAAAAAAGAGAGGAGAGATATCTTCAGCAGAGGCATGCAAAAAAGAATAAGGGTACTAGGATATGGGAATGCTATTACCAGTACATCATTCTCTAGCATCTGGGATAGAACCCAGAATTCCTGAGTCCCATTGTTCTTCTGCTGCCTGTAAAACTCAGGGACACACCTCTCTGGTGACCAGTCTACAAAATGAATTCTACCACCATCATTTACTCCATTAGCTGAAGTAGAAGAATTTGTGCTATAGCTCTCTAAAGGTTCCAGTAAACCATGTGGTTTTCACTGTTTCATGATGGAGTTTCTATTTTTGCCTGCTTCTGTTTAAGAAAAAAAGGAAAATATACAAAAAATGAGAAAAAGAATAAGCAGGATGGCATTCAAGCATTCAAAAGTTACAGAATACCAAAATTAAGTGTTCCCGTGTTTTGCTTTGCTCTCCCTTGTTTATGTGCATTATGATGTAGTCCTTAATTACATATTCATATACCAGTTTTTCACACAAGCTCCCCACTTTATGCTGTGCACGTGGTGCCTACTAATTCCAGGTGCCTGATCTTGGACACCAGTAGCCCTTTTCTTTCAGTGTCTTTTTGGAATGCTTTATTATGTTCAAAGTACAGATCTCACCAACTTCAGTTGCAGTTGTGAGTGCTTCCCACATCTGCAAATCAGATCAGAGCCTTGTCAAATATTCAAACATGAGGAACACATCGTTATAGCTTGTCTACACTACCAGTTCTCAGCTGCCATAGGTATACTAGATCAAGGGCCAGCAACGTTTTTGGGCAGAGTGCCAAACACTTGCAGCCTCAACTTGTAAGATGTTGGTGTGCCAGGGGTTGCCTACCTACCCCTGCACTAGACTTTTTTCTGGTGTAGCTAAGCCATCAAACCCATTTTCTAACAGTTTAGGTGCATTTATACTAGGTGTTTTACTAGGATAACTTTGCCAGGTAGAAAGTATTCTCTTTTCACAGTTTTTAGCAATTTGGCTAGGCTGCTAAAACTTTGTAGCGTAGACCAGGCCCTAATAGAATGGTTCTCAATCTTTTTATTCTCATGGAATCCCTTGATTCTCAAGGTATCTCTCAGAAAATGTCAGATCTTAGTTTACACTCATTTCTTGACTACAGAAAAATAATAGCACAGTTCTTCTGTTGCAAAGCATTTAGAAAGACAGGGCAGAATGGTTTTAACACTGTGAATTCCTATTTGAAATCTCTGGGTTTATCTTTTGAATCATGTTTGCATACATAACAGTGGAAACACAGCGCCCTTGAAATGATCTCAGAGTGCCCCAGGGTGCTGTGGCACCCTGGTTGAGAATCACTGCCCTAATGATCAACTCTGAAAAGTTTGGTTTAAGTGACTTTCCCAGCACCACCTAGTAATACTGTGGCAGAGAGGAGCAGTATCCAGTTCTTTATGGTGACATTCAACTGCCACAATCCTGAGATCATCCTTTTTTGTTCTGTAGTCCTTTGCTGTATTCGTTACTCTTTCTCCCAGCACCCTCAACAAATACGTCAGGGGTTTTCACACAATTCCATTCTGCAAAGCCATGACTCATTCCCAGAGCAGATCCATTTGGTACTCTGAATGAGGCAGTTTTAGGCTATGTACAGACATTTGGGGAGGTGAAGAGGAAGTTAGCCAAATTAAAAATAGCCACCTAATCTAAGGTAAGATGGCATGGAGGGCTAGCAGGGGGGCAAGCAGGCTTTGGAGGGAGACTGAGGGGGGAAGATAGCATCCA